AGGACTCCACGGCCATCCGTCCGGTGAGCACGCCCACATCCTGCTTCCTGGGACGGGGCGCTCCCAAGAGTTGGGCTTCTTTGGCAGCGGAGGCTCTTAGGTGCTGGGCAGGAACCTCCCAGGAAAGTCTCCCTCTGCTCCACCCACAACGGCCTCAGGAAGCCCAGGGGCCAACCACGGGCCTCTCATTCTGCCCCGTTTCTCCTGGCCAGGACTAGAAAGGTCCCGGAGGCCACAGCCCCATTTCCTAGAGCTGAGAAGTTCCTGTGCGCGTTCTCAGGCGGAGCAGACACTCACTCGCTAATGGGACACTTCTCCCTACTATCCCCTCAATCCCTTTGCCTGGAGCTCCTTGCCTGGGCCAGACCAGTGAACACCCACAGTCCTGTAGAGCTGCTATGAGGACCCAGAGGTCCGATGATCCACCTCATAGACGCAGACGGAAGGACGGAAGCCCTCATCACAGGATTCCTCCACGCGCCCCAGCAACGGTGAATAATTTATGTACAAGGCGGAGAAGACAATAAATCAGCAGCAATGATTAACATGAGCTATTTTACGTGTGAGAAAGATCTATGGCAGGAGGCTGCCAGGTTGCTGGTGATTAATGCTGCTGTTTGCACTGGCTTCTGGGCCTTTATATTCAATTATGGGCCTGGAGTATGTGGGGGGTCCTGGGAATGGCATGGGGGAGACCAGGAAACAAGGGTGGAATAGTTGTTGCCTAGGACCGAGGTTGAGATGACAACAGGTGGCAGCCTAGCCCCGTGGACACCTTTACCGATGAAAAGGCTGTTAGTGGGACAGAGAAGTGGCTATTTCTGTGATGGGGGTCACTCTGCCCCTGGGATCCCCTGTAAATACTGGTGAAAAGGGTGCCCCGGCAAGGGGGCACAGATGGAAGGAAGTATCCTTGGGCAAATCTGACCCTTCTAGAGTCCAATGTTGGATTTCTGAGTCGGGAATGGAGTAACAGCAGCCAGTCAGCTTGGGGTTGGGGTCAGCAGTTAACGCTGGGAAAAGCTCCCTGTCAGCAACAGAGCCAGGGAACCAGAGCCTAATTTCACATCCTAGACGTGGATGGCGGCAGGGGGACAGGCCGGGGAAGAACTCTCCGGGTGCCCTCGTCCCAGCTGACCCAGGAAGCCCTGGGAGGCCCCCTCCCTGCATTCCCACACTCGGCCTCTCTTGCTCAGCCGGCTCCAGCTGGCCCCTGTCAGTGCTGGGAGGCGGGGGGCGGGTGGGGGGGGGGTCCAAAGAACAGTGGCGGCTTTGGGGTTAAATGATTTCCCCCTGCCCACCCCCTCCCAGCCCTGGCTCCTATCAGCTCCTTCCTCCTCTTCCTCCTCCTCCTCCGCTCCAGTGACCTCTGTGCAGTATGGCCCTGCCTCCCCTTAGAACCCAAGGCTTGTCATGAAGGGTGGGGGTGGGGAGTCTTCTGGGGGCTGGGCTGACAGCTGAGCACTGGGACCCTTTGGAGGACCCGGACGTGCAGGAAGAGCTCCCTCCCTCCCCCCAGCCTGGCGTGGAGACTTCTGTAAGTCATTCTATCCACAGGCCAATGCTTCAGAATCGCAGGTCTGGGGTGGGAGGAGGCTTGAGGGAAAAGGAAAAGGGAACATCATCACCCTGGTAGGGGATGGGACGGGGCACCAGAGGAGGCTGGTTTCGGCAGGCCAGAGTTTCTGGCTGGAGAGAGAGCCTGTGGCTCGTCTCCCCCAAGCCCCCGCCCCTTGCACACCCTGCAACTTCGTGGGAAGTGGTCCTAAGTCATAATGCTGTACGTCTGTGTGTGTGAGCCTGTGTGGGTATGAAATTCTGTGTGTCTGCCTCTAGAAGTCTCTGGGAAGCGTCTGGGTCCGTGGCGGCGTGTGCCTGTGTTTCTGAGCACCTGTTGTGGCTGTATGAGGGCCCATGTGGGGAGCACATGAACACACACGCTTGAGGCTGACCCCAGCCCGGGCCTCGCTCACAGCCCCATCTGACCCACCATTCCCCGACAACTGTCTTCCTCGGCCCCTAATCCCCTGCTTGCCCGGCTCATCCCCTGGACTCCTTGGGACTCCATTAATGAGCCCCGGCCGCCCCAGGACAAGCTCCAAATTAACCCCACTGCTGACCCCGACATGGACACCTGTAATTAGGCCAGGAGTGGCTGAGGCAGAGAAGGCCCTGGGGCTGAGGGGGGTGAGGGTAAGGCTGCGCTGGGACAGGGAGCCTAATGCCCAGGAATGCTCTAAAAGCTGCGCCTGGCTCCAGGGCCCGCCGCCTGGCTCATCTCTAATACCTCACAAAGCCTCCCAGACGGGGCTCCGGGGGGATTACCCCCCAGAGAGGCCCTGGAAGTGGGCAGGGCTGCTCAGTGCGCCCACCCTGCTGGCTCTGGGCTGGGGAGGCCTTACGGGAGGGGAAAGCTGCCCCCGTGGCCTCAGAGCCCAGCAGCTAGCCCCCAGGGTTTCGGCAGCCCAGAGCCTGTGTTCCTGACGGCAGCCGCCCCAGGGAGAGCCAAGTCCAGGCTGGCTGGTGCACCCCCCCACCCCAGGGCCAGCCCCTCCCTCCCCCAACTTGTTTTGTTTGCTCTGTGTGGCGTGTCCGGTAGCCCCACCTGCATTAACCCCTGACCCCAACCGTAACTCTTCCTCCACGGTCTGACATCTGTGTTTATCCAGTTCCCCTTCGAGCCTTTCCCCTCCTGCCGGGCCTCTCCCAGGGAAAGCTGCATCCACCCTGGGACTCCCCCGATCCTGGGAGCTGCGGGAAGAACTGTTGCCCGTGAGTGTGTCTGAGAGCAAAGGCGCACAACTGATGTGGCTGCTGCTGAGGGCCTGGCAGGCAGCACGCACGCGGGCTTGGGAGATCACCTTGATGTGCAATCTGGCAATATCTATCAGACGTTTTCAATGAACATATCATTTGGCCGAGCAATTCTACATCCAGGAATTTGTCTATCTGCGTCCCGGGTGTGTGCTCGGGCAAATATATATCGTCAGTATTTATGGTCGTGTTGTAAGAGCTAAAGACAGGAAGCGTTCTAGGTGTCTACCCAGACGCTGGCTGATAATGAAGCCACAGCCACACAACGGAATACTCTGCAGCCATTCAAAAGAGTAGCTACATACTCCCATCATCAATGATCTTCAAGATATAAGGGTAGCAAGGTGCAGACAGAAGGCAAGATGCAGAGCAGAGTAGGGTACATGCCACCATTTGGGGAGGGTGCGGAAGAAGAGGAAATATGCACATAAGCATTCACCAGTTTTTGAAAATCTATAGTTTTAAATCTTCAAGAAGTAACAGTGGTGGCACTGAGGACCAGGAGGGGAACTGAGGTCAGGAGTTTCACTCCTTTGTACTTTATGATTTTTTTTTTTGAACTTTGTATATGCTTTACTTTTCAAAAACAAACACGTTTATTATAACACAAAAATAAAATACATATCTCTTGGGACCCAACTATTCAATTTCCAGAAATCTAGCCTACAGAAATAAACAACTACACAAAGATAATACAAGGATGGTCTGCTGTTTAAATGTCACACACTGGGGGCGCCTGGGTGGCTCAGTCAGTTAAGTGCACGATTTTGGCCCAGGTCATGATCTCACGGTTTGTGGGTTTGAGCTCCGTGTCCGGCTCTGTGCTGACAGCTCAGAGCCTGGAGCCTGCTTCGGATTCTGTGTCTCCCTCCCTCTCTGCCCCTCCCCCGCTTACACTCCGTCTCTGTCTCTCAAAAAACTAAATAAATGTTTAAAAAAAATGTTAAATGTCATACACTGGAAACAACTTACATGCTCATGAATAGGTTAACTGTTTAAATAAATGATGGTATATCTGAACAATAGAATATGAGTGGCCATATAAAAATGAGGTAGATCTCCATGTACTGGCATGGGAACACTACAAAGACAAATGTAAGAGGAAAAAGTAAATTGCAAGCCAATTCAAAAATATTCCATGTGTCAAAAAAGAGAAGGAGCAAAAGGAAGAAGGAAGGAAGGAAGGAAGGATGGATGGAAGGAAGGAAGGAAGGAAAGGGAAGGAAGGTGGAGAGGGGAAGGAAAGGAAGACAACTATATATTTCTCTATGTACATATATATGACATAAATGTATCCCCAAAACTCTAGAAAGATAAACACCAAATTGATGGGAGAGGGAAAATGGGAAGAGGATGTCACATATGCTTCTGCATCTATAACAAGACTTTAGGGGCACCTGGGTGGCTCGGTCAGTTAAGTGGCCAATTTCGGCTCAGGTCATGATCTTGTGGTTCCGAGAGTTCAGGCCCCGTGTCGGGCTCTGTGCTTACAGCTCAGAGCCTGGAGCCTGCTTGGGATTCTGTGTCTCCCTCTCTCTCTGCCCCTCCAGCTCTCTTCTGTCTGTCTCTCTCTCAAAAATAAATAAACGTTAAAAAAAAATTATAAGACTTTAAGTACTTCTTGTATAATTAAAAAATCAAATAAATAAAAGCTCCAAAGATAACGACAGCGCCAGTCACTCATCTGGTTTCCTCCCACTACATCAGCTTCTGAAACTGGCGTGAACAGCGCCATTATTATCCTTCTGTTATGGAGGGGGAAATGGAGACTGAGAGAGGTTATACAACCTCCCCAAGGTCACACAGCACACCCGAGCTGGAATGGCCCTGAAGCTCATAGCTCGTCCATACCATCTCTCCTTGGAGGTGCCATTTCTTCTGTGTTCTGGGCCTCCTCAAGGGTATGGACATCTGGGTTGGGGTTAATAATTTCCCCCTGCTCTTGTGTACAGCACGTCACGGACGCCCTTCCCTTCCTGTCCACCTCATCCCCTCCAGCTCCCAGAGGACCTGCTGGCGAGCCCAGCCCGGGGTGCAGCTCCTGGCCTTGGCATGGCTGCCAGCTTCCCCATCACCTGCTCCTGTTCTGGCTCCTTCTACCAGCAAGAGCTATGTACCCGTTCCCCGCCAACACCCCCCACCCTGCCACAGAGCACCCCCTTAATTACAGTTAATGGCAAAGACCATAAGAGCTTTATTAACTTTATTATGGACCCAATTAGCAGCTAATGCCCCATGACTACTATCCCCCCCAATAATCCCATTAAACATAATGAAGCAGTCTTCTCCCTCCCCTGCTGGGTTGGGGCTGAGGGGACCGGGGAAATCCATCTTCCTGGGCCTGATTTTGCCCCTCAGGCCCATTGGACACCAGTGAAGGCCTGGAGCTTCTAGGGGACCAGGGCTGGGTACGAGAAGACAGAGATTAATCAGCAAGTATTTTGATGCCGGCCATTGAGCCTAGACACACACACACACACACACACACACACACACACACACACACGTGCACTGACACACACACTCACATATACCACCTGGCTGATGTCCAAACAATTCCATTCTTGAAACAGGGATGTGGAATCACACCCAGTCCTCGAGTACATCCCTGTCCGGCACACAGACATTCTCCCAGCCTTGTCCAAGAGCTCTTCAGAGTGGGGCGTCCAAGTCCAAGGCCTCTGCCTGGGCTTGTCACCGGGTAAGGGATCAGGAGCCAGGAGGTAAGGAAGGCAGAGGGCGAGAAAGAGTCATTCTCCCCTAAAGTCCACACCTCCACCACACCCCTAGCTCTTGCCCTGCTCTGGCTGATGGTTTTGATATTTATTCAGCACCCACAATGTGCCAGACACAGTGAGAGACCCCCTCTGCCATCTCACTTGAGCACCACCACAAGCCACGGAAGTAGGCATTACTTCTCCCATTTTACAGATGAAGAAACTGAGGCTTTGAGAGACAGCCAGGTTTTGAAAGAGCTGTTCTACATGATTTGCCTTAAAAGATCTCTCCTCTCTCCTTCCCCAACAACCCACCTTTCCCCCTCCTAAGGCAGAAGAGGGAGAGATCATGGAGGCAGTTCCCTATTACCTAGATGAGGAGCTAAGGCATAGAGAAGATTCGAGGGGCCATCATGGTGCTCATGACAAGACAGCTCATTCTACTGTCTTGAGAATGAGAATGAGTCTCATTCTTCTCCCGCCTTGATGGGGCGAGAAAGCTAGAAACCAGAGAACGCTGCCCCCGCCCCCCAACACTACTGTCACAAGAGGCCCCTGAACTGTTAAAGCCCAGGCCTCAATGCAGGATCTGGCATGAAGGAGAAGGTGGGAGGGGACAGGAGTGTGCGAGGGTAGCCACAACAGGTTAAATCCCCAGCTACCCCCATGATCAAAGCCTTCAGACTTGGGGATTCTGGTCCCTGAGGGTCTATGCCAGGGGACCTCGTCCATCCCCACCCGAAGTACAAGAACGACCTCCAGATGGGCTGGGGGTGGCACGTACTCTCCTTCACTTGGCCCCGGATAAAGAATAAGGAGTAGACGCTGAGACTGACAGCGTGGAATCAATGGTTGCCCTGAGCAAGGGGGCAGGGGCTCAGGAAGGGAGACCCTTGAACCTTTGCTTGGAAGCAGTCTCCCTGTTCCCGCTCCCCCTCCCTCTGGCTGGCGCAGCCTGGAAGCAGCCACTTGAAATGGGTCCCAGGGAGCCTGGGAGAGGGGCTGGCCTGGCTGCCTCCCCAGTCAGACCCACTCCCCCACCCCAACCCCGACCCAGCCCCAGCTGGGGTCAGGCAAGAGAGCGAGAGCTTTCTCTCTAGATCCATCCAAGTCAGGATCCCTCCCTGCCACACACACCCAGCATGGCATCCCTCCAATTGTTCCATCCCTGGGGAGGGGGGGGATGTGAGTAAGTCAGCACCCTCTCCTTTCCCAAAAGGCCATGGGGCCTGGGGAGGGGGCAATCCTACTCCCTGGGGTTACTCTAGGGCACTGAGTAGCCTCCCAGGGCGGGGCCCTATTCTTCTCTTTGCCCTGGATGAGTGTTCTCTGACACCCAGGGCCCGGGCCCCACCCCACCCTCTGAACAAACAGCACCACCCTCCCCACCCTCCTCACACCCAGAGGGATCCGGTGCCCAGAATCAGCCAATAGGGGATGCTGCGGAGGGGCCACGGTGGAGTGCAAGTGAATTTGGGGGCCTTGGGCAAAGTCAGCCTGTACTGAGGCGCTGGGCAGGGCAACTGTTGGCTTTACCATTTCCTGGCAACGCCAGCTTAAGCAAGTACCCAAACCCTTCTGAACCTCAAGTGTTCTTCTGTAAAATGCAACTGAAAATTGAACCTACTCTGTAGAGCTTTTTGTGAACATTAAAGTTGTAACATATATAAAATGCTTAGCGAGAATCTAGAAATACTTAGAACACAATAAATGAGAATTGTATTGTTGTCTGCAGGGTGGGGTGGTCCCTAGATTGGCAATAATAATCACAACATAATAATAGATAACGTTGTTAGAGCACTAGAGGGACCATGGCCCCTCAAGTAACTATGCCTGGTTCTTACTAAGAAAGGAGGAGAGGACTCCTGTCTCCTCACCTTGACCATCCAAGGCCTCCACTACTTACAGTGCACCCTGGCCTGAGGATTTCAGAGGGCTGACTCAGTCCTGGCTCACTTCCCTCATACCCTAAAGGTATCTTTTTACATGCCCGCATCACCTCTTTATACACGGCCCCCCAAAACTACACACACCTACACACACACACACACACACACACACACACACACACTGTGCCTTCTTCCCCCTTCCTTTCCCCGGAGCAAGGAAGAAAGAGATATCAGAGTTTGAAGGATGTGAAAATTAGCCGGAACTGAGAGAGGCATCAACTTCAAGGCAGTATCCCCCCCCACACACACCCCTTCTCTGCCCAAGGGATGGTGTTTCCACAAGTCTCTGCAGGGAGACCCCCACCCCACCCCAGGTGCGGACTGACACTGTCGGGCGAGGAGAGGGAGCAGGAAAGGTGGCTTGCCAGCAAGAACAGGGCCCCAGCCCAAGGCCGGGGCGGGGCCTCCAAGCAGCCCACTCAGCACTCAGAGCTGTGCTCAGGGTGGGCAGAGGCCAGAGGAGGAGACAGTTGGAGCCCAGCTTCCTCAGCCAGAGCTGAAAGTGCCACGGGTTTGTGCCCCCTCGTTGGGGGACAGCTCCTTCCCTGGGAAGCAAGAGGGATCTAGGACAGTGTCCTTATCTCCAAGTGCCTCCCCAACCCCACCTCTGGCCCGTCTGAAGGTCTTGTTGGAGTCCCTGCCTCGATTTCCCCACCTCTCAAGGAGGGCCACCGGCTGTCACTTGCTCTGCCTTCTGGTCACACTGAGCGGCGGGCGGGAGTTCCCGGAGAGAAGGCCCTGGCAGAAGAGCCTGTCTCTGTCATCGTTAACAGCCACAATTATTATTATTTGGAGAGACAGGCCGGAGGTGGTCAGGGACGTGGTTGGGGTGAATGAAATGAAGAAGTCCTCGGTATGTGCCGTCTCGCCAGGTTAATACTCCTGCCTGTCGGCCTGACAGCTGCAAGATTGATTACCCAGGCCTCCCGCTCTTTATAACTCGATCAGTCGAATTAATCTCTGGCTGTCGGCCCATCTGATGCCTGAATCACAAATTTAATTTGGAGGTGCACGGCTCCTCCCCCATCCCGTCTCCTCCTTTCCTGCCGGCCCCCTTCCTCCTCAGTCCCTCCCTCCTCCTCCTCTTTCCTCCCTACACCTCTGCTTCTCCCCACTTCTTCCTGTTCCTCCTGCTCCTGCTTCCCTGGGCCTCTAGGGCCTCTCAGCGGGCGGTGGGCGGAGGAGGAGGGAGAGGGGGGTGGGTGGCCCTGAGTCAGCAGACCCTCTGCCCAGGCCACGGGAGGGGTCATGGTCACCCACCCACCGGGCAAGGCGCCCATCCCACCGTGCTCCACCCCAAACGGAGAAAGAGGCTTAGCTGACACTAAGTAAGACATATTAATGTACTAAAGACTTAATGAAGTTGGGGGGGGGGGGGTGTGGGGTGGAAAGTGCTTGCTTTATTAGTTTATGGCCGATTAATGGGGACGCCATTACTGTGATGGAGATGAATCGCTGCTGTCAGCAGCCTGGGCTGAGGGCCGGCCCTGGCTCTTCCTTGGTGGTGGGTGCCCTGAACAGAGTCAGGGAGAACTGCATTAGAAGCGCCTATAGGATCCCACCCCGGGAGGCCCTGAGGCCAAGCTGGAGGGGTCGGAGCAGGGCTCAGCTCTAGGCTTTGGGAGGAGGGGTGCAAGAGGTCAGGGCTGGGCGCCAATGTCAGTTGGGAACGCAACCAAAGGCAGCAGGGCAGGGAGGTGGCCTGGCTCTGGACCTGCACACAGCAGGGGCTCAATAATGTCACCTGGGGGAAAGGGAGGGGGAATCTAAAAGGCCAGAATAACCAGCACCCACTTGATTTGCCTGAGACCCTTCCCAGAGTGAAGAGCAAGGGAGGCCGGATCTCTTCCATCCTTCCTCTGAGGGTGGTGGCGCACAAAGACCCCAGGTCCGCTGGCCCAGAGGACTGGGCGTCTCATCACCAGCAGCAGGCGGCCCTACCGCTGGGATCCCCAGCACCGGAGCCAGACACGTCACCCCACACTCTGCAAAAGCATTGCCTCAACTAGCTGGCAGCTACTGACTGCCCAGGCAGCAAGGTGGAGAACAGGGCAGGTGGACTTGGGGGACAGCCATGGGGAAACGGGAATGATGCCACCCGACCTCTAGGCTTTCTCAGGCCTGGGGGACAGGCTGTCCCAGTCAGCAGGTGAGCTGATCCAGACACACCCTTGGTGGCTTTCCCCTCCCCTCAGCTCCTTCTGACCTCCATGACCCCAGCCCCACCTTGCCTTGTATGAAGAGGGAGAAGTAAGGACTGAACCTAACACAGCCCTGCTCCCAAGGGCCACTCTATTTGGAAGACTCCAGAGGCCCCCATCTCTCAAGAGTATATGACATCTTGACACGGACATTTTGATGCAGGAACATTAAACTCTCGATTTTTTAAATTATTATCAAGTGATGTTCTTCTATCCTTCCCTAAGCCCCACGCTGCCCTAAGCCCCTCCCAACCCCGACACAGCCCGGAGAGGAATCGGGGATGAAAAGAGATTCTAGAAGGACTAGATGGACTCAGAATCAGTCTGTTGGCCACAGTACACGGTACTAAAAATACATTTTGACATTTTGACACAAGTTAGGCCAAGCAGCTGTGGCCAAACGACAGAGCAAAAGTGCCCTGTTTGGTCTTTTTGCCCTTCTTGCTACGTGCATGGTTTACATGACGCTGTGGGCGCGCGCGCGCGTCCCCGCCTCCACCGGCGACCACGTGTGTGAGAGCCAGCCGCTGGGTCTGAGCGTGCTCCACGAGGGCCTGCATCTGTGTGTGTCGAGCGTCCGTCTGCATCACGGGGCGGACACTCCCTCCTGCGGCACTGAGGTTGCCACTCTGAGTGCTCAGGCCAGGGGGCCAACCATTGGTTCAGGGGTCACCACCCAAGCTCACTCCCCAAGGTAGGAGCTACCTGCTCAGCCTAACTGGGAAATAAATACCCTGTTTCTGAGAGTAATTTAATTATTGGCTCCTGCGGACGAGTGGGTAATTAAATTCCGCAGCTCCCAAAGTAATTAATTGCTATGCAAATAGTAATGCCCTCTGCTTTGGAGAGAAGGATCTCGGCCTGGGTTTGCCCTGCAATTAGAAGCTAATAATTACCCTGTCAGTTCCCAGCCTCTGCCCGGTAATTACCTGCTGCAGCCCCACCGGTCACCAAGGGCCGGGACGGTCATCTGCTGCCGCAGCTCTGGCTGCGGTGGCCCCAACTGCCAGGGCAGGGCATCTCCGGAGCACTGGTTGATCTTGAGGTCCTCCCCATGATGTGCCATATCCACACACCTCAGGAGCCCCACAGAGACACCCTCGCTTCTGACCAAAGACAACTATGGCCGGAACCTCTTCAGGTCCCCTCTGTTAAGAGAAGCAGAGCCTCAGCTCCTTGGTGCGTAAATTCCCGAGCGAGTCCCAGCTGTCGGGAAACTGTCCCAAAGAGTATCTAATAGTTAATCTTCATAAAAATCATTTTTGCCGTGTGATTTCCTTTGACCGGTCAACCAGGCTACACTCTCTCCGAGAACGGGAGAGAGGGCGGCCGCCACTTTGTAGCAAACACACACCCTCTCCCTGTTATTGAAGCAAACACTGATCTAGGGCCTGCTGCAAAGGGATTTGAAAGATGTAATTAAAGTCCCTAATTAGTCAACTTTAGGGAGAGTATCCCCTGTGAGCCTGGCCTAAGCAGGCAAGCCCTTGAAAGAGACACACTTCCTGATGAAGGACACTCCGGCTGCCCTCCCCTCGCTAGACTCCTCTTCCTGATGGGCTGTGGACAATGGCCTTACCATTGCCCCGGGGTCCAACTTGTTCCTGAGCTATTCTCTTTCCTTCCTGATTGCATGACCTACAGATTTTGTACTTGCCTAGCCAACCTCCACAGTTGCATAAACCAGTTCCTTGAAATAGATCTCCTGCATATAAAATATGCATATATTATGATAACGTACGCTCCGCCCCACTCAGGCCCACCCCCTTAGAAGGAGTCAGAGCATCAAGAACCCAGGATGCCACTCAGGATGCCAACCCCCCAATCACATCAGCCAATTCCTTGTAATAAATCTCTGTCCTGGGTTCTCAGCCTAACTTTTACAGATAAAGAAACAAGAGTCAGATACACAGCAGTGGCTGACCAAAGATGCCATGGCTAGGAAGGGTGAAAACAGAGTTTGAAGCCAGGCCCCTGACCTTATTGCCACTTCCCATTCAGCAGCAGGATGTGGCTCCAGGTCCCATGTCCCAGGTAGGTTACATCTGTGCTGGAATGAGGGGGTATTTACGGATCCCCACACCCCAGAACTCTCAGGTATCCCTGTGGTTCGCCTGCTTGTTCATTTCTTATCTGGATCTCGTCCCCTCTGTCAGCTCCCTCTGCCCCAGGTCTCTGATCCCCACCTGAGGTTGTGGCCCTGGGAGCAGCAGCACCACGTGCCTTCTTGCCACCAGGTGCTCCCTTTGAGGAATACCCAGATCCCACCCTCTCTGGATCCTTCTCCTCTGGGTCCTCAGTCTTTCAACTGAATCCCTGGGGGAAAGTGTCCCGGTGTAATCCCAGAGTTGGGAAGTCTCTGGGGAAGCTGGATGCTGGGCAGGGTGTGGCTAGTGGAGGAGGACCTCTTGAGGAGACTGGACTGAAGGGCCCTGAGCCAAGAAGCAGTCCCACAAGTCTGGGAGAAAAGAGGTGTGAGGAGCAGAAGGGGCCAATAAGGGTGACAGTCCCCATCCTGCCCCACACTTGGGCATTTCCCCCTTACCCTTCAGGTCTCCATTTCAGTGTGCTTGGTCCAGAAAGTTCTCCCTCACCCCTAGGAGAAGGTGAGCCACATGCTCCATTCTCTCCCTCCCCTACTTTTGTCCTGGGCCAGGTGAGCAGAGGGCAGAGGAGACAGGGGATGCAGGTGACAGTTCTCCTCAGCCCATAGGACTGTCTAGGATTGAAGGTGGCAGGAAGCGCTACAGACTTTGAGGCCACAGTCTAGCCCTCGAATGCCTTGCCCTTGGGTCAGACACACTCTGGGATGAGTTTGTGCCACCTGAGGCAACACACCCACCAACACTACCAGGGAGGATAAGAGAAAAATGGCAGACATAGAGTGGCACCAGGGAAGCCGGTGGAGATCAACAAATAGGTTTTCCGAACTTCAAGTGGGGATGTGGGCAGGGACCACAGGGAAATAGTCAAGATTCTCAATGCCAGAGGTGAAGTCACTTGACACCAATGAGAGTCTCATCTATTTGGGAGAGGCCAATCTTGGAGATGTCCCTTGCCCTTCTCCCTGGTTTCCCCTGGCCCAGTTCCCCCCATGGTAGAAGGGAAGTAATGGTGTTCCTTAGTCTGGAGTCTGCAGCTTGCCTTCTGTGCCCAACTTCTGCCGCTGATTTGCTATAGGGACTGGGAGGAGTCATGCTCTTACCTCTGCCTTCACGAGGAGGTAATTTCTTGCTTCTTGCTAGAGATTTTAGGACAAAGATGTCTGTCACTTATAAGTTAGCACTCTTCGGAGAGCAGTCTAGCAAGTGGGGGCCATTTCTCTCCCCATTAGACTGGGGGTTCCCTACAAGCAAGGGATGATGTGTCTCCCCTCTAAACAGGGACTCCCAAAGGCAGTTGATATTTCCCTATCTTCCCCCTTGGTGCCTGGCCCCCAGGCCTGTAAACAGTGATTCTCAAAGCAAAAACAAAAGCAAAAACTATGAAGTAGGCTCATATGACCAGGGGTCCCGGGGCATGGCCAGGGGCTGCCAGGCCCCCTCTGCACAATCTGGCCTCCTGTCTCGGCGGGTGCGGTTACTGCTCCAGTGACAGCTCTTTAGAATCCATTCAGAGCTTTGGCCCTGCTGTAATCTCTGGGTGATGAATATTTCCCCTAATGAATGGATGGGAATTGGATTAGGCTGGAATGCCCGTGTGCTTAGACTCCAGCTGATTAAACCCCCATCTGTGCAAGTACTGCCTGTGAACAGCTCGTTACATATAATTTTTTGAAGGAGGGTAAAAATGATGTTGGTATTTGGGTTTTGCAAAGGAGGTGAGGGAAAGTAGAAGCAAAATGTCTGTCCAGAATTTGGTGGGGTTTAGTTGCTTTAAGTCTGACCAGGCCGGCGCTCCCCACACTAGGGCACCCCCACTTTCCTCCACTCAGGCCAAGGGTCCCCAGGGCTCAGATGTCTGCACTCTTAACCAGGAGCCCTACCCAGGGTTCTCTGGGCCCACACCTATCTGTCCCCTGCAAGGAGCATTGACTGGACAGGGGTTGCTTTGAAAAAGGCAGGAGAGGGAGATGGAGCAAGAGTGGGAGGGGTTAGATCTGTGCATTCAGTTCTCACCAGATGAGCCTCAGAGCTTTGTTCCTACTCTAAAAATCCTTCAGTCCCTTTCAAAGGATATTGTAGGGAGTTGGGAGGACCATCCAAGACAGGGACTCTGGGATATTCCTGGGACCTTTGTCAGTCAGGACCAAGGATAGCACCTATGCCAAGGATCTCCAAACTTCCAGGCCCCTCCACCCATCCCTCTTTCTTCCCTGCTGAACATGTTTCTCTACTCTTTAACACTCTTTCCTTTTCCTCCTCCTGCCCTTCCTTTTAACCCTCCCTCTCTCCCTCCTTCTCCTCTCTCTCCTCGCTCCTTCTCCTTCTTAATCCCAGGGACAGAGCTTGGCCCTGGTTCTTCACCACATACTTCATCCCAGGAATTCCTCAAGAAAAGTTATTTAAGCACCCCAAGAAGCCTGTCTTATGTAACCTCTGTTAAAAAGCCTTATCCCCAGGATTGTTGCTCACCCACAGCATACAAGAACACACACACACACGCACACGCGCACACACACACACACGCTGAAACATGGTATCTAGCAGGAAGGAAGGTCAGAGTCATTGTGTTTCAGACTGGCTGGCCAGCTCTCCCCATCTCCAGTGGGGTCAGGGATCGGCCCATCTGCCTGAAGGACTCCCAACATAACTACAAACTCTAACTCCACAGCCCTCCCTCATCTCTCCTTCCCTCTCCTCCCACCCTTTCCCGCCTCCTCCCTTCCCTTTCATGCCTCTCCTCTGCGTCTCTTTGAAAAGTGGCAGCAGCTGCTAGAGAAGGCATACCCTTCAATGAACATCAGCAATTGTAGTGACTGAGTGTCCCAGCCTTCTTTCCTGGTTAATCTAACTTGGGAAGAGTTGAGGTGCGCTCTGGCTTTGCTGCCCATGAAAGGCAGAGAATAAATAACAAGCCAGAGGCATAAACAGATGTGCAGATATATGCAGCTGGCGCTTTCCTGCCAAATTACCATGGACGGAACACTGGCGGGGGGCCAGGATGCCTCCCCCTTTGTTTGGAATTTGGCCACCAGGATCTATCCAGGCTCACCATCCATTTGGCAACATCTGAGTGAAGGGAGGGGATGCCAGGGAAGGGAGTGGAAAGGCTGCAGGTGCCCTTAGATTTGGTGAAGAGGTCTGGAGGCTTATCATAAAGACTCAGGTGGGTAGGGGTTAACGTGGTGGGGGAGGAAGAGGGAGTTCTGACTAAGTTTCCCTTAGTTTCCTTAGAATAGTTCCCCCAGGATGTGGCTTGAAGCATTTGAAGGCTGACTCTAACAATACCACATATGCATACAACGGGCTCTATGTGGCCACCCTTACTCTTACCCAAGGATTGGGTGTTCCTGTGATCCTTGATCCTGTAGAATGCTGCTCCCAGTTGGCCTGGAGTGCAGCAGGCAGGCAGCAGCTGGATGAGAGCCAACCAGAAATGGCCAAACATGAAAAGAGGTCCCTGAGGACTCCAGCCCTGGAACAAGAAATGGAGGAAAACTGGCTGGAATTTTGTGAAACCAGGGGAAAAAGCAGGTGAGCGGTGGGGAGAAAACGTGAGTTGGGGGGGTTGTTGCCCAAGGAGACCTCTCTCTATGGACACCCCCAGATCTGAATTCAGAGAGACACCAAGCCACTTTCCAGGATTCATTCAGACCACATGAAATCTTTTCTCTTCATCAATTATTAATTTGTCTTCCTCTTGCCAGGCCATCTCATGCAGATCTAGGGGGCATGGAACAATTTTTCCAGTGCCTGATTACTAGCCCTTCTCCAGATAATGCGATACAGATTCCTGACCTGTCGGATGGGTGTATGTTCTCTGGACAGCTATGGCATAAGATGGGTCTAGAGTGGACTCCGTCTTGTAGGCAATGGGAAGCAGGAGAGTAATAAGATAAAAGTCGTGGCCTAAATACACAAGACTGGTGGTGAGGACTAAGGATGTGTTGAACAGAGGAGAAATACAGAGCAGGAGGCTAGTTTAAGAGCCTGTCATCACCGAAGCCTAATGATGTTGGTGGGACTTACTGATGGGTTGAACAGGAATCAGAGATGAGGAGGAATAGCGTGACCATATAATTTATTGTCCAATCCAGAATGGTTTTGAGGATGAAAAGAGTACTATCGGTCATTTTACCAAGACAGTAGACACACACTGAACAATCCTGGGCAAATATGGACACGCAGACACCTTGGTCAAAGATGACCCAAGGTGAGGTGTGGCATGTGGGTGACAAGATCTATAGGGTGATGCTGACCAACGTAGTCTGGGAGGCAGAGTAGCAGGATGGAAGGGAGGGAATAATGAGCTTGGAACTGGACTTACTGAGTTTGAAGTGTTGGAGACATTTACCTGGAAATAGCCTGATCACCATCTTGGAAGCATCCACGGGCACTTGCTTGGAAATGTCGGTTTCAAGTTTAAAGGAAAAATCCAAGTTAGATATACAGCGAGTGTCTTTGGACCCAGTGATGCCGTTTTTAGAAATCTGAATCTCATAAATACTCATTCCTTTTAAAACAATTTTTAATGTTTATTTATTTTTGAGAAAGAGACAGAGCATGAGCAGGGGAGGGACAGAGAGAGAGGGAGACACAGAATCCGAAGCGGGCTCCAGGCTCTGAGCTGTCAGCACAGAGCCCAACGTGGGGCTCGAACTCAAGAACCGTGAGATCATGACCTGAGCCAAAGTCAGACGCTTAACCAACTGAGCCACCCGGGCGCCCCAGAATCACTCATTCTTGTACAAAATGACATACATTTAAGAAGGCTTACCGTGGCATTGTTTGTAAAAGAACGACTTGGGAATAACAAAAAGGCCCACCAATAAGGAATTGGTGAAATCTATTATGGAGTGCCATGTGAAATATCTATATGTGTTGAGCTGTATCCTTATGTGTTGGCCTGGAAAATATCTCTGATAGTTTTTAAGTGAAAAGAACAAATAATAAGATAGTAGTATGGCATGATAAATCTATATAGTAATTGTTTTTCAATCTAATTTGTGTGCGCGTCTGTCCGACTGTACGTGTATGGTAGATATGTAAAAGATCTAGAAGAATACACACCAAATTGTTCAGAGCAGTAACTTACAGAGAAGAGAGTAAGATTAGCGGGAAAGAGGAAAGAGGGGCTTTTCCTTCTTACTCTACGCACTTCTGGATCGTTTGAAATTCCTCTAATCCTATATTCATGTACTAGATTGTAAAAATAAAAACAATAAAAAGGATTCCTAGAGAAGACGCAGAGTCTGTCACCTTAGGAAGGCGATGGATGGGTGACGTGATGGGGGAAGCTCTGGGGGTGACAGTCAGGACTGGGGCCAGAACATGAGGTTTATACCAACTGAAGAGGCGCTAGGAGAAAGGAGGCAGGGCCAGAGAAGAACCCTCAGAGTGCGCCTGAAGAAAGTGGGACTCATTTCTGACCCCCCCAGGGCTGAGAGAGAGAGAGACTCTCCGCTCCACAAATGAGGCTGCCCGAACCACTCCCTCCAACTCGAAGCCTCCCCTTCAGCAGGACTGAGTTTAAACAAGAGCCCAGTTTTTTTCCAGGGCCCCTGACGGGTTCTAGGTGGCCTACTGCTGTCCCAGGCCCCATGCTGTTAGAGCAAAAGCCCCTTCTTCCTTAAGTACCGTGCTTGCCTAGATCAGCTCAGTCCAAGGCACCACACTGCCCTGGGTCACTCAGCGCCACCCACCCTAGGTGTCCCCCCCCCCCCCCCCCCGCCGGCGTGACTTCTTCTCTCCTCTCCCCTTATGCTGCCAAAATGCCCAGCACTTCTCCAGGTGGAGAAAAGAAGAGCCCGAAATTAATTCCCTTCTGGAGCAGAGCTGTGTGCTTGGGGGGTGGGGAGTGAAATCCAGGGGACCTACGGCAGCAGTGACTCACAGGGGCTCCTCCCCTGGGGAGATGGAACTGACAGACCAGGGTGTGGGATGCTTCGAGGTGATTTCCTGCCAAGGCTGTCAGCGCGTTTCACTCCTCACTCTCCGCGTGAGTCCCCTGCAGCTGAGCTGCGCCTTCTCTTTCTCTCTCTTCACCTTTCCTGGCTCTCTTCCGTTCCCAATGCTCCCTCTCCCCATTTGGCAAGTCCTTACCGGTGCTAACTTTGTGCCTTGGTGCCCCGCTCTCCAGCTCTGCTAGGCTTTTCTTCTTTTTTTCTGTTAACAGAAATACACGGAGTCAGCTTTTCTGTTGGGGTGCCCTGGCCCCAGGCTCCTTCCCAACCACAGCAAATTTTATGGATGATTGGGAGTCCAGGGATGCACAGTACATGGGGCAAGGAGGCTGTGTGTGTGTGTGTGTGTGTGTGTGTGAGGGGAGGGGAAGAGGAAGAGAGAGCAGAAAGCGAGCCTCTTTGGAGTTGCATCTGTGCTGCTCAGGCGGGAGGCTTCAGAGCACAGCAGTAAGGGGAGGGGGACACGGCTGAGGCTGTCAATGCTCCTCAGGTCTTAGAAGATCATAGGACACCAGTAGCAGCGGTATTTCTAGTTTGTCGCATCAGCCCTCCCCGCTCCCCCCCCCCCTTTACAAATGAGAAAGCTGAGGTCCAGAGAGGTTAAATGACTTCTCTTCATTCCCGCAGCTAGCTAAAACTGGTTCTGTCGGCAGAACCAGGACGAGAACCGGGGATCCTGACTCGTGGACAATGAATGCTGCGTCCATAAGTCTATCAGAGACTTTGGAGGAAAGGTCCCATTTCTCAGATGCTGTCGATGAGATGACAGATTTGACTAACAACTTCTCAAAGAGATGGAAAATGCTAGAATCCCCTGGCTTTCAGGCTGCTCAGGGGACAGGCTGGGCCCTGTCTCTGTGCCCCCAGCAGCCCCAGCAGTGACAGCAACAGTTCTCTTCCCCTCTGGCTGCTTCCCAGCTCCTTCCTGGGTATACCCCGGACACACAGCAGTCCGCCTGGGAATGCTCTATATCCAAGTCCATCCCCTTAGCTACAGGCAAGTCTTGTCTGACCCTGAATCCTGCCTGCTTCATCCAAGGACCTAGCCCAAGACAAATTCGTCTTCTTTTCATCTAAGCTCTGATTCCAGCCACTCCCTCCCCAAAGGCTTTTTTTTTTTTTCCTTTTTCAAAGTGTCCTCTGTCTCCCACCCCAAACCTGGAGAGCTTTTAATCCAGGGTCCCTTGGCATTGGAGTCACTTGCCTCCCCAGAAATAACATATGACCCCTCCCCCTTCACTGATTGAAAGAAAAATTAATCCTTAACACAGGCTCCAGTCATTTGTCCTAAATGGGAGATATGGGCATGGCGTCCCCACCGAGGCTACATGGTCCAAAGCCCTCTCCTCTTCCTCCAGGTCCCCGTGCTAAGCTAGTATGCGGACAACCTCCCCCCTACCCCACTGTTCCCCCAGATCCGCCCCCAGGCCGTCCAGAGGGGCCCCGAACTCCCGGATGTGAGGGGAAGTGGTGAGTTCTGAGCACACAATGCTTTCTTGTACTCTCCTCGCCTCTCGAAACTGCCCGCCATTCCCCAGGAAGAGAGAGTGGAAAGAGCGCGTGGACAGGAGGTTGGCAGGGCAATAAAAATGTCAGGGCCTTTCCTCTCCGCTCCCTTCCTCCCAATCGTCTCCCGCTCTCTCCTTCGCCCCTCTCCATCTCCTCCCTTCCCTCCCTCCTTCTCTCCCGCAGACCCTGCTGCAGCCGGGCCGAGGCGGCGGTATTTGGGGTATGAGACGGGAGAGGTTAATTATTGCTCCCCCGCCCCCACGCCCCCCCCCACAAGATGTATCTGACTGTCAGAAGGGGTGACAGATGAAGACAAAGTACAGGTACGGCTCCCGCAAACCCAGCCCTCCATGTACCAGCCAGGGGTGGGAGTGGAGGGGGGCGCGCTACCGAAGTTTTAACCCCTCCGACGCCGCCGATCCACACAGCCAGGCAGGGCGGGGCGAGTGGGGGAAGCCAGGGTTAGAACCTGGGTCCCAGCCAGAGCGGGCTGAGCCCGGGAGACCTGTTGGCCTGCTCCCGCCCTCCACCAGCGGCCAGGTGGGAGGGAGGGAGGCAGCAGCTCTGTCCCAGAGGCTGCAGAATCAAGGTCACAAGCAGGCCTCCCAAGATCGTTACAGGTGCAGAGAAAGGGACTCCTGGAGTGGTCTGGGGGATAGGTAGATTTGGGGGCCCAGGAATCCCAATGAGACAGAGGTCCACTACTCCTCCACCTTCTCCACGACAATGTCCCCCCTCACCCAAATCTGTCCCCAGGCATCCTTGGCAGGGTGTGCATGGGGTGTGAGACTGAGAGTTGTGTGTTTAAACCTGGGTGTGCTTGTGATGATGTGCCTCGATAGGCTCAGAAGGACTTGAATATGGTGTGGGGTTGTGTGTGTGGGGGGGGTGGTGTGCACACGTAAACCACAGTGCTCGGAAGGGTCATTTGCATGTATCCGCAAGAGGGCCTATACTGCACTCCCAGCACAATGTGTTGGGAGTGTTTGTGCCTGAGAGAGAGAGAGAGAGAGAGAGAGAGAGAGCTTTTGCCTGGAAGCATGGCTGTGGGGAAGAAGTGTGTCTTCAGGAGAGTGTAGACATGTGCTTGCAAGAGGTGAGGTGTCTGTGTTTGGGAAGATGTGGACCAGGCATGTCGTTCTGTGGGTACACAGTGTGTGCCGATGTGAGGGCATATGTGTAGACATTGCTGTTGGTATGAACATGGGTGTGATTGTGTGTGTGTGTGTGTGTGTGTGCGCGCGCGCACACGTGCCTGCTTGCACATGTGCCGGTCCAAAGCTGCCAGCATCTTCCTCTTACTGGCATCCCTCCCTTTCCTGACTCTCCCTTCTCCATAAGCAAACGAGGTGAAATAATTACTTTTCCATTTAAATGCCCCATGTTCAAGCCAGAATGAAAACAAAGTGATTTAATAAAATTGTCTTTAAAAGGGAAAAGAGGAAAATAAACGTCTGTTCCGTTCCTCTCCCTGGTGTTCAGGGAGGCCCCAAGCCCTTCAGAGTTAATTAAAACAGGAACGAAAATCGCAGAATAGCTTACCAACCCTTTTCCCATCTCCACCTTAAAGGTAAGGCGGCCCCCAAAAGCCCTGCCTTTGGCCGGGAACTTGAGGCCCTCCTGTTCTCAGGCTCAGCTTTGCCCTGAGAGGAGCCCTCATCCCTGGCAGGCAGGCCATCCCTGGCCTTCCTGCAGCCCCACCTAGGGGAGGAAACTCTGCTCCTTTTCTCCTCCCAAAGAGTCATGAAAGGCCTTGTCTGCACATTTGAAAGCCTTGATGGACACTGGCCCCCATCAGGAGCTTCCGGCCCTTGCCTCCTCCCAGGACACAGCCTGCCCTAAGCCCCTCCTGCCCCTCCCCATGCGTCCCCTGAGTCCCCAGCTGCTCTGAGCTTTATCTGTCTTCACTGACCCCCTGGCCTGGTCCTCAGCTCCAGCTCGGCACAGTTCCGGCTGTTTCCGCCTGGTCTGTATCTGTTCCCCATCAGAGGCCCCATTGGAGCTCCGGCCCTTCAGCAGCCCAGATAAAAGAGATGGATGGAGGTGAGTTTGGGGGACGCCCCTCCCTGCAAGCTCAGAGCTAGAGCCCTGGGTTGTGACAGGGGCTCCCT